AATTTTCTGAAAGCAGAGAAGAGTTAACTGTGAATAATTGCCCTAGACTTATTTATCTCAATCCAACGTGCATGACAATACCCAACATGTGCGGTAAAATTGTCATTTTCATACATAGGGTCACTGGATGCATGCGTTTATGTTTGTATACGCATGCACATAAAGATGGGTGCTGAAATTAGGTTCTCTTTACAGAGACATCAGTGGTCTATTAGACCCCTAATATCTTCCCTGCACTCCAGAACGTGCTTGATTATCTTCATCCCTGGCCACAGAAGCGAGGAAATTACAGCACTGAGACTGGAAGTGAAGAAATGCTCGTCGCTTCCGGGTTCATTCACCAGAGGGACAATCAGTAAACAGATGTTCACTGATCTCCTTCTGCTCTACCCGATGACAACTGCAGCCGCCCGACGGTTGGGCAAAGAAGTGTGAATACACTGGCAGCAGTGTGTTTAAAAAGCTGTGCAGCCATCAATGTATGACATACGTCATTGGCAGTAAATGGGTTATTGGGATAAAATACGTGTAAGTTGCATGTATTGCAGACAGTGGTGTCGTTAGACGTTTTGCCGCCTGAGGCGGGCGGGCATGGGGGTTGATGGTGGAGCATGCAGGAGGCTGGTAGAAGAGAGAGCGCTGCCAGACAGGAGAGTTATACCGCCCTCTACAGGCTTTGAATCTCCCGACCTAGCTCTTAGCAACTTGGGATGCTCTGGCTGGCATCCCAACAAGCTCCTGGCAACCAGTGACATCCCTGGTTGCCAGGAGCTGGGCAGAATTCAAGCCTGTGTGCCTGCTGCCCCCTTTCCAGCCAGAGCATCCCAGGCTGTTAAGAGCTGGGCAGGGTTGATGTGTATGGCCCTTACGCATATTCCTGCCCGGCTCTTAGCAACCTGGGACACTCTGGTCGGCATCCTGCCCAGCTCCTGGCAACCAGGGACATCACTAGGAGATGTGTATGGCCCTTACACCTCTTCCCGCCCAGTTCTTAGCAACCTGGGATGCTCTGGCTGGAAAGGGGGCAGCAGGCACACTGCAAACATTGTGCAGCAGTGGCCAGTATGCAATAAACATGCCGCTCTGCCTGCCGCCCCCCCATGTGACCCAAAGAGATGCTGCCTGATTGCAGAGATGTACTGCGTACGTTGTTATTTTTTTATTTGGCCCAGACATACACTTTAATATTTGTTTCCATAGCACATGCCATAAACGGTATGTTCTACCCAATCACAGCACCAAAGGTGGATTAACTGCTGCAGCGCAGCACAAGAATTACTCACTGCATTTTTGGGACACTTAGCAGAGCAGTCCCTGGACTTGTAGGCTGCATCAATACTGGTACAACTTCCGCTTTGACAGACCTGTAAAAAGCACATACAGCATGAACCAGAATAGACACACAAAACACTTTGGGGGTGGAGGAGGGGATTTGGAGTGTCTAGCTTATGTCGTACATTTATAAAGACACCCCAAAAATGGAGTAATCCACTTCTTGCACAGACATGTTTTAATAACAGCAGGCAGAGTGGCATGTTTGTTGTATCGTGGCCGCTCTGTTGCACAATTTTTGACGTGTGCCTACTGCCCAGTGTCTTTCTGGCCAGAGGGCCTCAGGTTGCTAAGGGGCGGGCGGATGTAAGGACCATACACATCAGGGATCAGTGAGCTGGGAGGGGAGATGCAAAGCCCTTATACTTCTTACACAGGGTGTCACTCTGCATCAGCACACCCTCTGCATAGATTGTGTGCAC